GACCCCAGCTCCCCGGCCGTGCTCCGAGAGCGAGTGCTCCTGCGCCAACGGCCGCTGCATCGCCGGCAGGTGGAAGTGTGATGGGGACCACGACTGTGCGGATGGCTCCGATGAGGTACCTGCACCCCGTGTGCCAGTGGGGACACGTCCTTTGCCACCAAGCAGGGGCTGGGAGCCTGGTCCTGGGTGCAGTCATGGGATGAGGTGCTGCCCCCCATGAGGGGTGCATGCGGGGCTGTCCCTGCTGACCGCTGCCCCTTGCCCTTCCCCTGCAGAAAGACTGCACGCCGCGCTGCGAGTTCGACCAGTTCCAGTGCAAGAACGGGCACTGCATCCCCATGCGCTGGCGCTGCGACGCCGATGCTGACTGCATGGACGGCACCGACGAGGAGAACTGCGGCACGGGGGGTAAGGGCAACGCTGCGAGGGTCCCCCGGGCTGGTTGTCCTTGTCCCCTCGTGTCTCCTGTGCCCCCGGTGCGGGTGGGAGCGCTCTGGGCAGGCACAGGCACATATCCAAGCGCTGGAGAGCCCCCCAGCCATGCTGTAAATTGGAATTGCAGCGCCAGGCTGGTGTGTTGGTAGCCGGGCAGCAGCGGCTCACGTGGCTCCTCCTGTCCCATGCTGTTGCAGTTCGCACATGTCCCCTGGACGAGTTCCAGTGCAACAACACACTGTGCAAGCCCCTGGCCTGGAAGTGTGATGGGGAGGATGACTGCGGGGATAACTCGGATGAAAACCCCGAGGAGTGCTGTGAGTGATGCCGCATTGCCTCTCCCCGTTCCCTGGCATGTGCTGCAGGGGCAGCAGTCTGAGGGGTGACAGCACCAGAGTATGGGTCCCCTCTGGGCCAAGCGGTAGGTGCTGGGGCTGGCAGTGGGGAGCGGGGCTGTGGGGCAGGGTGAGCACAGGGCTGGGCCAGGAACTGGGCGATTGTCTTTGCTTCAGTCTCTTTGCTTTAGTCTCCGGAGCCCGCTCGCCCTCGTGGGACAAGCCTCCCCGGAGGCAGAGGCCGAGCAGCAGCTCGTGACAAGCGCGACAGCCCGGCTATGGCGTCTCCTTTCACCGTCACCGTTTGTTTCTGTTTGCTGGTGCAGTGAAATTCCAGTGTCCCCCCAACAGACCGTTCCGCTGCAAGAACGACCGGGTATGTCTGTGGATCGGTCGACAGTGCGACGGCATTGACAACTGTGGAGACAACACGGATGAGAAGGACTGCGGTGAGTGGGGCTGCCTGTGGGCACCGCTCCGCGCCCGGCACCAGCAGGGCAGTGGGTCGCAGAGCCCGGTGTTTAGCCCAGATGTTGGCATTTGCTTTGCCATTCCTCATTCCCAAACCCGGGAGGCGGGTGCCGGTGTCCTTGTCCCTTTCTGCACCGTTTGCACCCTGAGGCTCTGGTGGGGCCGGGTGCCTGTGGACATGGAGCATCACAGCCGCAACCCGTGCTCCCGCAGAGTCACCCACAGCCAAGCCCAAGAGCTGCAGCCAGGACAAGAACGAGTTCCTGTGCGAGAACAAGAAATGCATCAGTGCCAACCTCCGCTGCAACTTCTTTGACGACTGTGGAGATGGCTCTGATGAGGAATCCTGCTCCCATGGTGGGTGGGCACTGGGGTGGCAGAGGGGGGACACTGGGGGAGCCGTGAAGGCAGAGGTGCTGACAGCGCATCCCCACTGCAGACCACAAGTCGTACGACTGCATGACCAACACCACCATGTGTGGGGATGAGGCCCAGTGCATTCAGTCGCAGTCCACCACGTACTGCACGTGTCGTAGAGGCTTCCAGAAGGTGCCACACAAGAATTCCTGCCAAGGTACTTCCCGACACTGCCAGAGAGGATTTGGGGTCTGGGCCGTTGGGTTTACGGTTGGGTTTTGCCCCTAAGATGTGCCTTCACCCCTGCGGTGATATCCATGGGGCATGGAGACAGAAGGGGTCTCCAAGTGCTTCGTAGCACAGACCAGCCCCTGAGGTGGGCACCTTCCTGTTCGCTCCCCAACTCCCATCTTCCCATTACCCAGATGTCAACGAGTGCCTGCACTTTGGGACCTGCTCCCAGCTCTGCAACAACACCAAGGGCTCCCATGTCTGCAGCTGCGCCAAGAACTTCATGAAGACGGACAACATGTGCAAAGCAGAAGGTCAGGAGGGAATGGGGACTGGCCCCAGCCACTCTTCTCTCCCTGGTCCTCCTCCCCATGCACCTCTGCCCACCCTTCCTTCCAGCACTGCCCGCACCAACAGCTCCTCTTCCTCTGCAGGCTCCGAGCACCAAATCCTCTACATTGCGGATGACAACAAGATCCGGAGCATGTACCCCTTCAACCCCAACTCTGCCTACGAGCCGGCCTTCCAGGGCGATGAGAACGTGCGCATCGATGCCATGGACATCTACGTCAAGGGCAACAAGATCTACTGGACCAACTGGCACACGGGCAGGATCTCGTACCGGGAGCTGCCCGCCTCTTCCAGTGCTTCCACCGCCTCCAACCGCAACCGGCGCCAGATCGACGGCGGTGTAACCCACCTCAATGTGAGCTCTGCCAGGGGGCACGGCGGGAGGCACCGAGACCAGGCTGCTGGCATCCTCTGCCCTCACCTCTCCCCCCTTCCTGCCCTTCACAGATCTCGGGGCTGAAGATGCCGCGGGGAATTGCCATTGACTGGGTTGCTGGGAACATCTACTGGACGGACTCGGGGCGGGATGTCATCGAGGTGGCGCAGATGAAAGGCGAGAACCGCAAGACGCTCATCTCGGGCATGATCGATGAGCCCCACGCCATCGTAGTCGACCCGCTTAGGGGGTGAGAGACTCGAGCCCTTTCTCCTTTGCCTCTGCCCAGTCCTCACTCTGGCTTCTCTTGCCAACAAGCCCATCCATGGTGGAAGCTCCCTGTGCCCAGTGTCACCTTGAGCTGCTGTGCCTTGGAGCCAGCTGGATCCTAGGGTGATGACAGTGATGCTGCGGGGAGGACACAGGAGGGTTTCCCTGCCCATGGGACCTTGGACTGTCCTCCTGCTCTTCCCCTCCTTGCTCCCCTGCTGAGAATGACCTGCCTGTGTCCTTCACAGGACTATGTACTGGTCAGACTGGGGCAATCACCCCAAGATTGAGACAGCAGCTATGGACGGGACGCTGCGCGAGACACTGGTGCAGGACAACATCCAGTGGCCAACAGGTGAGCAAAGACGGGTGTTGAGGGGGGCACAAAGGGGTGGTGAAGGCTTTGCAGGGGGGATGTACGACCCAACCATGCTGGGGAGGGTAGACCAGGGAACTCTGAGCCCCATGGCAGGAGTGTGTGTAGGGCTGGTCACTTGGTCAGGAGGGGCTGGGGTCCTCTACCTCACTGGGGGTTGTGTGTCCCCTCAGGCCTGGCTGTGGACTACCACAACGAGCGGCTCTACTGGGCTGATGCCAAGCTCTCCGTCATCGGCAGCATCCGGCTCAATGGCACCGACCCCGTCGTGGCCATTGACAACAAGAAGGGTAAGTGCTGCTGCTCAGGAGGAGGACCCCAACACCATCCCAAATGGGATCCAGAATCCCTCATCAGCCCTGTCCCAAGGCAGTGAGCAGCTGACTGTGACCCCTTTTTCCTTCCCCAGGGCTGAGCCATCCTTTCAGCATCGACATCTTTGAGGACTACATCTACGGTGTCACCTACATCAACAACCGCATCTTCAAGATCCACAAGTTTGGGCACAAGGCTGTCACCAACCTGACGTCTG